CTTAAGAGAATTTGATAGCATTATGTGATAAGTCTGAAAGAAGACAAAATTATTACTGTGAATGTATCAATGGATGTGGACGTGGCAATAGATGAAATTATAATCATCATCATTGTGATAATGAGAATATAAGGATTCTCAAAATAATCCTTCACTATGTGAAAGTAATATTTGTCATCGATTTGACATGAGATTTTATAAAGCACATATAGATGACTATGGTCCATTCATGATGTGAATGTGAAAACATCTAATTTATGAATACATATTCATTCTTGAAAGAATATGAACGTGCTAGTGGTAGTGAATATACCACACTCACCTCTAGAAGGAGGTTTGAGATGATATAAGAAAATAATGTCATTATTATGGCATGAATGGTCATTGGTTACGTACCTATTGCACGCCAAAATATTTTGGTAATGTGATTATTAAAGAATACCATTAATGCAAGAAACATATCATCTTGCATATAATTTTGACCATAACCATAATGGTATAACTTTCTCTTTAAAAGAGATATTCATCATATGGATGTTGATGAATATGTGGTAGTACAAAATTAATTGAGAGCTCTAGAAGAGCCAATTATACTATTTTGGAGAAAATTGATTATCAATAAGACGTTGTGTTGTAGTAAGTCTCAAAGAAACTTATTGAGTTTCTAAAGTGCTCGCGAAAGCGGTTGGTCATACTGAGACTATAAATAAAGGAAAGATTTAATATCTTCTATTACTACAACTTGTAGCGGAGTAATATATATGTGAAAAGCTACCCGCTTTATTCTCCAGTTTGTACTACACAAACAAAAGAATGCCACAATAAAGAGAAGTTTATTGATATAAAAACCCATATCATAATAAACTTGGAGTTTATTGATAATTGCACACGTCATGGTGTAAATCTGAAGTTTATCAATATTGATAATTTATTCAGTTGGCATAATTGGTTTAGCCATATCAATTTAAGTATGATGTGCAAAAATAAAAGAGAATTCACATGGGTAAATATTAAAGAACTAGAAAGTTCTTTACAAATTCTCTTATGTTGTCTGTTCTCATTAATTAATATACCAACTAAAATTGGGATCGAATCCCATAAATTCTAGAAATATCAAAGGTGAATATTGGCCCATTCACCTGCCATGTATACCACATAAGATGCATCTATAAGATGGTTACATGTACGATTATTATTAACCCGCAACATGGTGTTTGCGAGGTAACTTGCTCAATAATTTGATTTAGAGCATAATTTCCAGATTTTTTATTCAAGATAGTTCATCTTGATAAATTGGTTTACATCACAATTGGTTTAGAAAAATGATTTATTGAGTGCCTCCACTTAATAGCTAAACAATTGCTTATGAGAACAACGTTTTGTATATCAATTTGATATACGTTATATACCAAAGTATATTACATTCTCCCCTCACAAGTGGTTCATGGTCAGGAACCAAATAATTTCATCTTATTATTATTGATGTGCGGTGTATATTTTGATTAACACCATAACGCACAAAGATGGGTTCTCAAAGTTGAGGAAATAAGTTAGTTTTTCTAACATGAGGGGAGACATGATAAGCAGTTGAGAAAAAGTTACGTGGAATGAATTATCATTTGTACATCTAGATCCTCGAATAAAATAATATGAACTTGAAGTTCATAAATAAGATAATTCATTTGCAATATATTGCAAAGCATGCCAAACGCATTTGCTGACCCAAAGAAAGTAACTATATTCTCATTGCAAATGCTCCTATTAGAATAAGTCCTAGAAGGACAAAGTCTATAGTACGCTTAAAGCATATAGACAAATCGGTTTCAAATAAACTTCTTGATAAAGAAGATGAGAAAATGATCAAAATAAAGGAGGCAAGTGATCTAGAAGATCACATGACATAACACTTCATAAAATCTCAAGAGAGATTCAGGTACCTGAAAATATGAATGAAGAGATCTCTATGTTATGTCTTTATGAAAAATAAGGAGGTTGGAACCGATATAAAATGTTTGTCGACGACATCGATAATAGCGCTAAATATATATGAGGATCTTAAGTCTGAAGAAACAATTCAAGTAGAATTTGGTTTCATATGAAGACATGTAGTTTTGGACATGTAGTTCAAACACTTGAAAGTATAAAGTCAATGATATGTGCAATCAGTTTTCGGTATCTTATATGTCTAGCATGACATGAAAACTTGATATGCATCTAAAGTCTATTATATTGCTTATATGACTAAACAATCCCTGAAGGATTTAAATTGCTTAAAGCATATAGAATTCATGGTCATGAAGTACTACATCCTCAATGCAATTTGTGCACAAATGTATCTTGCTATAACTATATGCATGATAATATGATAGCAAGAGTTTTCACCTCTATGTGAAGATATTGAACTGACGATTCCAACAAGATCATATGAAGACAATCCATCTCTATCAAGAATGATGATTTCAAGGTGCAATATATTCATTCAAGTTAATATGGCTGATTTGTTTATCAAATATCTACCAAAAATCTTTTGAAGATGGTGCACAAGATTGGAATGCAAATGCTTAAAGATGTGAATTGATGCTCTCATCAGGGGGAGTTAATACGCGTTGTACTCTTTTTCCCTTACAAGGTTTTGTCCCACTGGGTTTTCCTTGCAAGGTTTTTAACGAGGCAACCAAAAGGCGTACTGCTAGATATGTGTACTCTTTTTCCTTCTCTAAAATTTTTTTTCCCACTGGGTTTTATTTTAGTTAAAGTTTTAACGAGGCACATTATCTGTTGAATAGACATTCAAGGGGGAGTGTTACAAATAGAATTGTATTTATGGTGAATGTCTATATTTAGAGAGATTCTAGGGTTCATTGCTTGGTGGCTAAGCCACCCTCTCCCTATAAATAGAGGGTTCTATTCTATTGTAATTCATCCTAAATGTTAATAAGAATTCTCTCTCCCCACTTTTCCCTGTAATACTTTTCTTCTTCTTTTATTGTTTCATAACAACTTCAAAAATGTTCAGGGTTTAATAGGTTCTCCGCCAAATTTGAGTTTGAAACTGAAAATTTAGGTATAGTTCTATAACGCGCCAAATAGTTTGCGCCGTGGTCGGCATCCAGTTTCTACCAACTTACGTCGAGCGAACCATTATGATGTACTACATACCCGACTTGTACCGATGTAACTCATTTCATTTAATTAATTATTTCCATGTGACGGTGTTCAACTATTGAGAGTCAAATAAATTATTTTTTAACTATAATTTTTATATACTTTTCAAATATTTTAAATTATTAAGTATTATGACTTATAATACTATATACGTAGTTTAAAATATGTATATTTTATTTTAAAGAATTTAAAGATTATATGCTCACATACACGGTTAAAACTAAGAAGTTCAAATATCAAAAAATAAAAATTATTACATAAATTGGGACATAAGGAGTCAATATTAAGTGAACACTGCAAGGTATTTATCCTTCCGATTTAACGTGCGAAAAACATAGTTCAAGACATGAAATAAAATAGTCATTTGACTGTCATACGAGTACCAATAACCAAAATAATGTACAAGTTTCATCTACGGAGCCTTTATGACGTTAAGAATAAATAAACAAAATTACGAGGCTAGCCAGCATTATACAAAAGAATATATTGAATAGCGTGATCCCACGAAGTTAAAGGTGGTACGTACCAAATGTATGAAGCTACAAGAATCATAGGCCAGATACTCCCTCCTCCGTTCCAGTTTATGTAAACCTATTTCTTTTTTGGTCCGTTTAAAAAAAAATGACCCTTTTTTAAATTTAGAAACAATTTAGCTTAAACTTCCAATTCTACCTTAATGGACATTTGGACATAAGAGCTGTAAAATTCTAAAAAAAGTGAAAAAAAATTCAAGTGATAATGGTATTTGAAAATTAGAGTTGTGTTTGGACATGTGTATACGGTAAAATCACGTGTCCCCGATTTTGTGGGCTCGAGGGTTCATATCGAGGAACAGAGGGCTCGCATCGAGAATAGACTCAATATGGACCGGATTCGAGTTCGAGGACAGAAAACAAGGCTCGAAGATCGAAGTGCACGATGAGTATCGAAGCCGAGTACGACCAACCACGATGGTGCCATTATGGGTTTGTAACAGAAAGAGCCAGATTCTCTCCACGTCCCCAAGATCATGGCGTAAATTTCGGAATAGATTCGTACGAGTTAGTACAAATCTGTACTAGGCAGTTATACAGCTGTGCCAATAAGATTCTTTACTGTAAATAGAAATGTACCTTATTTAGGGTTCCTCTATTATATAAATGGGACCCCAATCATTTGTAACGATCATCAATCATTGGCAACGAATATACTATCTTACTTTATTGCTCATATTTCATCAGAATTGTCCCTCAACTCCTTTATCTTTATTTTACTGTTCTTGTTGACCAACCTCGAGGCCATCACAGCTCGAGGTCGAGGCTTGCTTAAACAATGGTTTGGTTCAACTTACATTCATCATTTATACTTCAGATTTCTTGGTTATTAATTAGTATTGAATTAAACCGTGTATTTTTAAAACCGTAAACAAGTTTAATTGTTACTCGTATTTTCGAGGTAAACAACATGAATAAAATTTTGGGTTGTTTTTGATGTTTTGTGAGTGATATAAGTGAAAATTTTGAAAAACAGCTTCTTGGAGTTTTTCAAATTTTTAAAAAATTCCAAAATGCGTCTTCAGGTAAAAATTAGAAATTTTATGACCAAACTCTGATTTCGAAAAAAAGTGAAAAAATTCTTATGTCCAAAAAGACTCTTAATGAGAAGTTTTTATAACCACACAAATACTCTGGACTCTTTTTTGACTTGTTTAGGACCACAAATTCCAAAAGTATTCATTTATTTTAAAATTTCATGCTCAATCAAACATGTTCACATAAATTAGAATTAGAACAGAAGAAGTAATAAACATTAACATTTCTGATAATTTTCGTAACATCGCGATCATTGTTAGACAAAATAATACTTTCTATATTCGTTAGCTTCTGAAGCCCAATTTTATGTCTTATCCCTAGAATAAAGAACATTTTGAGAACGTACACTGAAAATATTTAGTGACTGGAGAGTTACCACCAAAGAAACTTCCACGAAATTGCCGTTCAATATCGTTAATTATGCTTGCTTTTTGACTCTGTTGACTAGCAATAGTTCCTGAAAATAACTTTCCCCTTCGAGCCAATTCGAATTATTGGGTCAGTAAAGTACTAGTTTCTTTTCCGGCAGGTTGAATTGAACACCCTCGGATCTAAGTTTTTCCGGCAATTACATACATCAACATGGTAGCTGGAGCAAAGCCTAAATACGACGTATTTTTAAGTTTTAGAGGAGAAGACACCCGCAAAAACTTTGTTAGTCATCTATACCGTGCTTTAACAAAGAAAGGAGTTCACACTTTCAGAGATGATCGGAGCGTAGAGAAGGGAAAAACAATCAAAGATGAACTCATCGGTGCTGTTGAAGAATCACGACTGGCCGTTATCGTGTTCTCGGCGAATTATGCGTCGTCCAGATGGTGTTTGGAGGAACTCATTAAGATCATCGAATGCAAGATCCAGAGAAAGCAAACTGTTATACCCATCTGCTATGGTATTAACGAATCAGAAAAGTGCAGCATAGTTGATGCTTTTGCTGAAGCTTTTGCCAAATGTGAAGCAGATTCTACTACGGATAGTTACTTTGATGAGGAGAGAGTGAAAAGTTGGAGGAAAGCTCTAACTGAAGCAATAGATTCAGGCTGGGATGTCAACAAGTGTGTGGAACAGTACTATCCGTGAGTTTCAACTCTCTCAAGTTTAATTGTAGTAATTTCTTTGTCACTCAGTTGTGTATATATATATATATATATATATATATATAGGAATTTCATTTCATTAAGGGCTTTTAACGTTACACGAAACCAAATTAATGAGTAGCTAAAAGAAGGTGAAGGGCTCACTTAAATAACTGAATTAATGAAAGAAACAAGTTTACTCTATCAGTCTATCTTTTGTGCCTATGCATAAAATTAATCTTGCAGGGGTCATGCATGCATATACTGTTTAACCTTTGGTTGTTCAGGGAAAAAGCTTGTTTTCTTTCGATTTATACTAGCAAATCAAATATAATTAATTAATCTAGGTAATTTATCAACTGATGGATGAGTTGAATTGGAAATAATTCATTAATATTGGTAGGAATGAAGCGGAATGTATAGAGCAGATAGTGAAGGAGATTGTTAGCAAGCTAAGATCGGAAGAAGTGGCCGGAGAACTTCAAGTAAATTATTCCTGTCGGAGAGAGTCCTTGGCTTCACTCGTTCAGCAGCATCTCCTTTCCAATTGTGTGTGCCTGTATTTTTTTTTGTGACCATTTATAATATTTAAAAAAGTGATCAAACTTTCTAGTCCAAATAAAAGACGACGATCGACCAATGGTTGGAGTACTTGGTGCGACTTTTTCTTTATATGTGGGGTTGGGGACGGTGAACCACTTGAGCACTCTAATGTGCTTTCTGACTATTGTTAGTGGGCACGATAGACCACTTTACTACTCTTTATGCTTTGTTGACTGCAAATATTACTCTTATTTAGTACTGTAGTTTAGTATAGTATTAGATTAGAAATATCTCCAAAATCATATATAAGGCTCTTGAGTAGATAGCTACCTAATATAGTAATGTACTCCTAATTTGTACTGTATGTTGGATGGTTTAACTATTATATATTTGAGTAGGAACTGGAACAATGCAGTGATAAATTGACCAGCCAAGTCCCTACATTCCTTGGCATTCTCTCATTTTACTTCAAATCCCCCCCCCCCATC